AGAGTCTGCCCAGGTCTCCTACTCTGCTCTGTCCCTGTGGTGTGAGAGCTGCTGCCAACTTCAAAGGCGACCCCCAGGGTGGAACCAGGCTAGGTTTCTGGGTGGCTACCCCCCCACACACACAAACACACACACGCACGCACGCTCCAGGCCCCCAGCCTGGAGCCTGTGCACAGGCCCTGCAGTTTCCCATCTCCCAGCCTCTGGGCTCCAAACAGCCCCGAGCAGGAGCAGGACCCAGAGTCCCAGGCTAGTCCAAGAGACAGGGTGGGAGAAGCCTGTGGTAGCACTGCAGAAATCCTCTCTAGGATGTTGGACATCTGGGGACTGCCATGTGGGTTCAAAACTGTGCAGGGGCAGGTCTCTCACAGCGGTGGATCCCACTGTCCCAGAGCAACACACTCACTTGACAGCTAGTGACCCTGGTGGGTAGAGTCATGTCCCCAAAAGATAGGTTCAAGTTCTAGCTTCTGGTACCTGTGACTGTGCTTTTATTTGGAAATAGGGTCTTTGCAAATGTCATCAAGATAAGATCATACTGGATTAGGTCCCAAATCTTTCACTTTCTATAGGGAGATTTGGAACACAGAGACTCAGAGAGGAGAATGCCATGTGAAGAAATAGAGACACAGGGAAGAGAGCCACATGAAGACGGACACAGAGATTAGAGCGAAGCGTCTACAAGCTAAGGGACGCCAGGGATGGTCGAAAGCCACCAGGAACTAGGAGAAAGGCGTGGAACAGGTTTTCCCTTTGAGCCTCCAGAAATAACCAACTCTGCCAGTGTTGGAGTGAGCAGGACTGAAGGCATGTTGGGACCTAAAACCACAGGGACTCTAAAAGATTTCAAAAGGACACAGTTTTTTCTTTGGCATGCGTTTCTCTGAGTTCCCTCTTTTCCCATGGTTATTTGATATTTCGATCCTTCGTATGAGGACCACAGGGACTCTAAAAGATTTCAAAAGGACACAGTTTTTTCTTTGGCTTGCGTTTCTCTGAGTTCCCTCTTTTCCCATGGTTATTTGATATTTCGATCCTTCGTATGAGGCAAGATGGCATTATTTACATGAATGTAAAGTTGTTTTCCAGGCAGCCTGAAGCTGCAAACTTGCAGACATCCGTGTACTATACAGACCCTTGGAAGACATCAATAAAGCTGTGCTGACTCCGTCCTCCAGCAGGACACTTGGACAACAGCAAGGACCGGAGCAGAAACCAGACGGAGCCATGGCAAGACCTTGCACTTGGCTCCCTGCATGAAGCCCCACAGCTCACGTCCCCCTCCCTCCTGCTTTCCATTTCCCATGTCCCATCCCTTCTGTAAACCCCTCAGTAAACCTGAGTCTTTGAGATGGCTTTAGTCTGGCCATTCTCCTTTAGGTTTACTGGACAGACGGGTTAGCCTCACATCTCTCCTCAGATCACCATGTTCCTGAACGAAAGCTGACTTCTATTTTCACCAACATTTGACTTTTGAGTGGTTTTTGTTTGGTGCAGGAAGGTGGACCTGTGACCCGTAACACCGACACCTCGATTTCAGACTTCTGGCCACCAGAACTCTGACAAATAAATTTCTGTTGTTTCAAGCCACCGAGTTTGTGGTCATTTGTTACAGCAGCCACAGGAAACTAATACAGGGACCAAACGACTGTTTGCCCCGAGCACTGGACAGATGTCAGGAGCACTCTCTTTGCTGGCAGTAAGGCGTCCAGTGCAGGAGCTACCGCCTTCTGCTCTAGGGGCTCCCTGCAGAGGAGGAATGACCACTGAGAATTTGGGTGTCAGAACAGCAGGGGTTACAACAGTCTTTGTAGACCAAAAAAACCTCATGCACATTGTAAGCCATGCTTGTGTACTTATGTCGCTTGTGTTTTACATCTGTGTCATCAGCTCCTCCTGTATACCACGCCATTGATTTTCCTTTGGCATTTTGGAAAAATTGAGTTCTGTGATTCTCTTGGCTAAACGTTTCCAGCCAACGGCACCTTTGACCTGTCTAGTCAAGCACATTGCCCTGAGCAAGGAGGAATTCAGCTCACAGTCATGGTCTTCCTTCCACAGGTCATGGCCAGCTTTGGGCAGGGAGTGTGGTAGGCCGATGACACAAACTGCACCTCCACTCGTGCAGCCTTCGGCAGTTAGCACGTGTTTTCACACACTGCATGCGTCAGGACGCACCTGGAGGCAACATACAGGATTCGGGCTAAACGTGGCTCAGTGATGATTGCTCTGTATAGAAAGAAGTAGCAGAAAAGCAGTTCTAGGGGTGGGTGAGACAAGGGCTCCGAGGCAACCGCAAGGACCCTGGGTCCCCCATCCTTCCCTGCAGCATCCTCAGATGGAGGGTCGTGGGCTCAGCTCTCTGCAGTCCTGGGTGGCTGCTAGAAAGAAGACAGGGAAGGAGAGACAGATGTAAAGAGACACAGAAGATGAAATAGGGAGGAGGAATAGACGTGCCTCTTTAAAAGTGAGCCAACCACGGCTACCACACACATATTCCACGTTATCTTACAGACCATCATTGCACAATAAATAGCAAACGATCAATTTTTAAATGAAGTTTAGGGAAATAAAGCAGAGAATCACTAGCCACTGGACAACAGATGCAGAAATAACTCATCATTATCAAAATTACCTAAAAACAAAATAAAACCCAGCAAAACAAAAACCCAGCATGGCTGCAGGTGCAGGGCTTAGCAGCATCTCTCGTTGGCGACCACCTCCCTGAGTCAGAAGGACCTGCTGCCGGACGCGTGCACAGACATGGGCACCGTGTTAAGGTAAGCAGGGATGAACACTGACTCAAAGTGCTTTTGCGTCTCACAAAAGAGGAAATCTGTATTACTCTTGCACCCCCCCACATGAAAACCGCAAATGCTGCAGACGGTTAAACCTTTACACCAAATGTGATGGTCCCGAGTTCTGACACTAACAGGAACTTTTTAATTAAAAAGTAAGCTGGTGGGAAGGCTTGTAAAAGTCTGTGAAGTAAAAAAAGATGTTTTAACCATGTAGGGACCTTTGGGGGTTGAAAAAAGGGATTTTGCAGTAGTAATAGCTCTATTCCATTTTAATATTTTTGAATGTAGCGGTGTTTTTTAATCCCGTCCTCAAGAAGTGAGATTTATCACTGATTATGTAGCAGTAACGAATGGCGAGGGAAGCACTGTAAACACGACTCCAGCATGCATTTTATTTTTTGGTGATATCTTTCCGCTTCTGGTTGAAAATAGGAATAAATTAAATGTGATTGCATGGGACTGCTTTATGCTTACTCAAGAGTGCTTGCGGTGGATGTCGATCCTGTAACAATCCTATTTTTCAAGGGGGGACACTGGGGCTTGTGTTCATTCTTCTAAGTATCCTCTATGCTAAGCTTATGATGAGGGCCCTTTTTGCAGTTCAGACCGAAATTGGCAATTGTTATTAAAGAGTTTCGGTTATTTGGCTAAGCAATGGCTCCCTTTAGAATGGATGCTCTTTATTCAAACTTTCAACATCAGTTATCATTTTTAAAGCAGCTTGACCTGGAAGCACGCAGCTAAAATTGTGGGGACTGTTAATGACAGTTTTATTGGGCACTATGCTTATGGTTCACATTTCGAGGTCTGTATGTAATTGATCTTTCTCCCCTACATGAGAAACACAGCAATAAGCTGGTTGCAGCACCACATTATAGATATAGAGAAATAATAATGATGTCACCTTGAGATTCAAAGATCGTGGAATAGTAATAGTCTCCCAGCTCATTTCTCCCAACTGTGATGACCTCTCCAATACTAAATCTTAACAGTCTCAGCATTATTTTTGAATTATTCATGCTAGCCTTTTCCCTCACTACAAAATCAAGGAAAATGAATGCATCATGCTCTGTCAGCTCCACAGGTATTTTGGTAAAAATATAAAATGTTATTTGGTATCACAAAAACGGGGGGGATATGGTAATAACACAGTAGTGCACGTGGTGTGCTAACCTTGAGTACAAACACCAACACGAACACAAAAATTCATCTGTGAAGAAGACATACACGTTCCCCACCCATTCTGAATTGATTATTGACTAGTCATGCTTGTGTTAGCTGGGTAGTGAGAGGTCTATGGCTTTAAATAAAAAGTGCATAATAGGATTAGATTCTATCTTCAATCCATCGCCCCAATTTACACTAATAAGTCACATCAAGAAATTCGTACCCTCTCTATGACAGCCAGTTTTAGCCAATGTGAAACTTAAAGCTTTTGCTTTTGAAGTATCAATTCAGCATATATTTCTTATTTTAATTCAAATTATGTCGAGATAGCAGCTTGACAACTCTCCTAGTTTAGCTGGCCTAGAGAACACAGGAGCGCTACAGTTTTATTCCAGTGATGGATCTCATAAAAAGCGCATGTGGGAATAAAATAAAATGCATGTAAATGTAAACTCAGGCAGGTATCCTGATCCATCTGTAGCTCGTGACCTTTAAGTTCATGATGAAAAACAAATGTCAAGCTTTCAGAAGACAGAAGTATCCCTGGCTTTGCTGGGGTGGTGTGTGCTGTCGCACAGACTGTATTAATTTAGTATGGCATCAATAACCTTGAAATAGGGATTTTGCACTAAAAACCCAGGTTTATGTTTATTCAAAAACCAAAGGAAAAAGGCAACTTCATTTAAAGGGGCCCTTCAGCGGTGAGTGGGCAATCGTTGCTTACCACTCCAGATTTTTGGAGCTGCTCTCTGGCTTCCATGGCAACAGATCCTTAAGACTGTGAGGACCCAGAGATGTTCCTTAAAGAGTCTTTTCATTTTGCATATAATTCTAATTATAGATGTGTTTGCTCACCCGGCTAAGTAGGCCACACACCTTGACAGAAAGCATGGTCAGTTAAGGCTGTGCCTCAACCAAAACGCTGCAGATCCCTCGGGCAACGAGACAAAGAGCCGTTTGGTTGTGCCACATGAGCTTATTTCTGATGAGCAAAATGCTTTTCTTTATTTTTTTTGTCCTGTAAGAAAGAAACAGAAGGAAGTCACTTGTTCTCATCGCTGTCTCTAGACACGAGTGACTTGCCACAAGTGGCTCTCGGTAGAGCGAGCTCTCCACCACTCCGTATTCTGATGAGAGGACCTCCGGTCATGTCCTCGGACTTACCCTGTGATATGATTAATAGCAGGTCTGGTGGAGTCACACGGTACGTTCAGAATCATCCCAGATGCAATTATGCTCAGCACAGATTTCACCTTAGGTGTGTTTCGTGATATTCCAGTTCTGTAAAACTTAGTGTAGTAGGGTCAATTATTGGTAAAGTAACTGGCATCTTGAATTTTCCACTGCTATGGACTTCTCACCCAAAAAAAAAAAAAAAAAGGAGAGATTCTGAGTTTCCCTTTTCTCTCTCAGGAGTAACAGCCAGACTGTGCCTCTCGCCCAGGGAAAGAGCCCAGCACTGGGGAAAGAGAGGCTCACCCCAAAGGAAGGACCTCACTCCCTGGAGCTGGAGAAAGGGGGCGGCTGGACCTGAGGATCATTTTGCACCCCCCAGGCCGGGAAGGAGATGATTTTGGAGGTGAGTGTTGGACACCGGGCCCTGTCCCTTCCTAGCTGTCTGGAGGTAGGATTGCAAGATGCAATATAAGATGCCCAGGAAATTTTGAATTTCAGATAAACAAAATGAACAGTATTGGGGGCATATTTATACTGAAACTCTTGTTGTTTACCTGAAATTCAAATGTAGCTGGGTGTTCTGGATTTTCATTTCCTGAATCTGATGATGCTGGGAGACCACAGCAGGACCAGAGATGGGGGTGGCTGCCCGGGGACCTGGGCCCAAGCATTGGCCCGACCCCAGCAGGAAGATCCTGGGGCGAGCCTTCTCCCAACTTTTAGCCTCTCCCTACCCCACGTCACGTGACGATCAGGTCCTGAAAGTGTCTTTCTCCTCTGGCTATTCCACTGCTCAAGACCAGAGGCTCCCTGTCACTTCACTAAGTGGTGGCCACATCTCTACTCTGGGGTCTAGCTTGGGAGCCCCTCCACGAAGGCAGGTCAGAAAGAGCAGCAGCCTCGTGGTCAGACCTGGTGCCCACCAAGGCTCGTTTCCGGCAACCTGCCAGACCTCTGACAAGATCTTCACGTTCTCCGGGCTTTCGCTGCTTTATTTGTTCCACAGGGGTCTGGACCAGCCCAGGGCTTTGCCAGCAATACTCCACGGAGTCCTCGTGCCATCCTCTCCTGTAACCAGCCCCACGACACCTGTGTCTGTCTGTGTGGTGGACCTCAGATTCTGTGTGCAGGCAGGGCTCTTCTGCTCCTGGGATTCTGTAGAAACCGACTGGATTAAGTGACCCCAAATTCCCCGTTAGCCCCTTCTACTCACCTGGATCTCACTCCCCACTAAAGAACCAATTTTTGCCCACTTTCACTCCATTAATAAATATGTATTAAGCATTAACATATGTCAGGATACCCCCAATGAATAAAGCAGACAAAACCTGTGCCCTCATGGAGCTTGTATTTAAGTGAGAATGCTCAGAAAATACATGTAATGGTTAAATCAATCATGGAGAATTTTAGAAGGGAAAAAAATTAGAGCAGGTTTAGATGGGTCAGGGGTTCAGGAAAGGACTTGGGTATGTGCAATTTAAAATAGGGTGGGCTCAGCTGAAGTAGGCAAGTTAGAGGCCCTTAAATCAATCATGGAGAATTTTAGAAGGGAAAAAAATTAGAGCAGGTTTAGATGGGTCAGGGGTTCAGGAAGGGACTTGGGTATGTGCAATTTAAAATAGGGTGGGCTCAGCTGAAGTAGGCAAGTTAGAGGCCTCCTGAAGAAGGAGGTATTTGAGTGGAGTCTTGCTGGAGGGAACAGTGTTCAGGCACAGGGAACAGCCAGTGCTAGAGCCCTGAGGTGTGCATGTGCCCAGCAGGTTTATGGAACAAGGGGAAGGAGGGAGATGTGGTCAGGGTGGTTGGAGGGTAGAGGCAGGATACGGAAAGCTCTGTGGACAAGGAAGGGAGGAGACTGGGGGGTGGGTATAGAGTCTGCTGACTGCATCAGAGGATGAGAGGAAAATCATCAGCCAAGAGGAGAGAGCGGAGGCCACGAGGTCAGTTCCCAGTGACCAGAGGCAACAGGTGACAGTGGGGGCGAGGGACGACTTGGTCCAACTCTGGATATGTCCAAAGCACCAGCAAGCAGGTTTCCCTGCCACACTGAACGAGGGGTGTAAAGAAGGAGAGGCGTCAGGGACGACTCCCAATGTCTGTCCGCCTCTGCAGGCAGCTCTGCCCCTAGCACACACGGGCCTGCGGCAAGAGCACGGTGGGAAGGACTCAGACCCAAAGTCTAAATATTCAGAAAGTAGAAACTGAGCTAGCAAACTGTTCAATAAAATATTGGCCATCCTCTCACTTCCAAAATGACGAAACAGAAACGTATGTGAAAAGTGATGGTTTTTACATGGCTGAAAGTTGGCAAAATATCAGTGACTGAATTTAATGCGTGCTGCACATGGCTGGAGTTCCATACATGGGCCAGCAATGTCTGAGTAAGTAAAAAAATAAAGACATCCGTAATTCATGAATTAGCATGTACGTTTTCCATAAAAGGTATTTTTCTTTCCTCATTCTAATATAATCATTGATCATGTTGTATGAGCAAGATTTTCACATAATTTGTCTTCTAGTAACATTAACAATATAAAAAACAAAAATTAAATTGCATTCAAGTACACAAATTTTGAATGTATTTATGTTAAAAAGTAAATTAAATGTAAATACAGAAAATGAATTTAATTTTTCATGTTTTCAAGTTATTTTGCTTCTAAAACATTCAAAATTATGTTAAAATTAAAAAGCAAAACACAAATTTGATTTATGAAATGAAGCTTAAAGCTGAAATTTTTTATTTAAATTTTTGAAAGTTTAATTAGATCATAAGAAATATTTAGATAAAAATGAAACTATTCGTGATTCCACTAGGCACTATAACCGGCCCAGCAATGCCTGCGTTGCTTACACCAACGTGTCTCACTCCACATAATTGGTAAGGAGACCTACATGTATGCACTTTTGGGACGATGCATCGTCTAATGCTGCAAGCC